AATTGTTCTGAAGAACATCATCAGCTGCCATATTGATTGAGGTTAAAGAAATACTTCACCACCATCTTTGGTAAGGGTAACCACTTTGACTGGCACCACCAAGGAGACATTAGGACTCCAATATAATTTGGGTTGGATATATTTCTGTTTGATAATTTCTGTCCTGTCCTAAAAACAAGGATTATTAAACAGGAGTTAAAACAATGCTCATTTTGATCATTGATATTAAACTACAAATTGTTTGCAAGGTTAAAACTTGCTATAGCCTGATATCTTAGGATCACCAATGAAAACTACAGACTGAATCTTCTGGCTTTTACTAACATTGGTAAGCTGTAACTAATTGGGTAAACTGTATGTTTAGACTTAACCAACATATGCCCTCAAAGTTAAACCTAAACAACATTTGTCTAATTTAGATATACCTAACAGATTTTGTTCCCCAATTCTCAAACACTCTGAGATCTGAGAATATGGCATTTAATAGAAATGCTTTTTATGAGAGACATGCCAACTCCTGGAAGCATCCTGTATCTTCTCCAAGAAGATGGATGGCCACAGAAGAACTTCCACCTGGAGGCTTGCCTCTTATGTAACAAAGCCAGCCAACAATGAAAAGCTGCTTTATACCTTTACTGCTGCTGAGATCATGTTCAGACTATGAATAAGGGGGGGAATGCGGGAACGATTGTGCAACTCTTGCAAGACAGGAAGGCTGATTTCCCCAAATCTCTACTCCAGAAAGTATCTGTTGGATCCTCTCTGCTTGGCCTCTGAACAAGTGCTACCTCTGGGACTTTTCGCCCAGTGACCACGGAGAGACTTGGGACTGCCTGGGTAACTGGAAAGCTGGCTCACTCCTGCTCATTTACTTATCCTTCTCAGATCTCATGGTGTTTGATGACTAGGGTACTAATAGATTTTGCAGTTTAACAACACAACCAACCCCAAACCTAAAAGCACCTTAGTAGCTCATTAGTACATTTCCTGTTAAAAATAAAGACAAGTGTGCCTCATTCACCGACTCCATGGTACAGGATAAACTAGTTTCAGATATAACTTCAGAGGTTCAAAGTTTTGGGTTTGATAAATGCAGTTCTGACAAACTGATAAAAAAATAATGACAAAGAGTTTACAGGGTTCCTTAAATTTTTGTGAATTTTACTGGTCCAGCTTTTAGAGCTAGGTTAGCATTAGAGAAGATAGAGAACCCTGGAGGCATGTTCAGGTCCCTCCTCCTTCACTCATACAAACCTCCTTTCTTCAGTGAATTTAGACTTAAAAATATTCATGCCTTTTAACCCAAAGCCATAGCTTTATACTATGACACCAAGATGTAAATCTGTTCCAGTAGTTTAACAGACACCTGAACGCTCATGGGAAAAGGGCTCTGCTACTTTATAAAGAAGTCTGATTTAATGGAAATTAATTTCTGTTTCCAAAGCCTAATTTTGACACCACAAATTTTGGAGCATATTCTCTAGGTTCACTCCTCCTTTCTGGGCCAAGGCCAAACCCACAGGGGGTCCTACAGATACACCAGCTTGAGCAACAGCTCTGAGAATGCCAACCACCAAACAAGGATGCCAAATGGAAAACACTAACAGGTGGATTTCACACACATGCCTGCACATAAAAAGGCTCCATGTCTCTTAACTCTTATTGACAAATTTCAGGATGGATACTCTCTAAATATTCTGAAAAACAGCAGATGTTATGGCTCCAGTAATCCTGGAAAACATCATCCCTAGATTTAGCATGCCATCTCCCCAAGTTCCTGGGACTTCACTGCTGGTACCACCTCTACAGGTCCAAGTGGGCACCTACCCAGCAACTCAAACCTTGTTTTCCAAGATGTCCCAATTAAGGGCATATCTGCACACATCCCTCACTCATTCACCCTTGACTCTTCTGTACAACCAGGACACTTCTCACTTTCATTCTTTCTGGCAATCTTCCTATTACCAATGGCTATCCCTGTTCATAAGGCCAGTGATAAAAAGCTATTCTTTTCTCTCCTAGCAACCCCTCATTCTCCGCCTCCTCCAAACAGATGCATGAGGTCTCCTGGCAGGCAGCTATCCAAATGCTTCTCCACTCATACCCCTGCTGAGCTTTGGGCCACCTGACTCCCAACTCCTCCCTACCCACATGGTCCCATTCTAGCAGGAAGTACACAGACTTGAACCTGCACCCACATATACCCAAAATTTGGGATGTTTAGAATCTCCAACTGAGGGGGCCTCATTCCAGAAAGCCCACCATTGGTGGCTCCTCCCTGAAAGAGGCCTGGGACCATGACCATACCTACTGGCTATTTAAGACCTGGCCCATAGATCTGCATGGGTGCTCCCCTGTTCTGTCTCCTGACTTCCTGAAAGCCCCTGGAGTGCTCTGCTTTGCTATGCTCTGTTTATTAAATCTGAACTTATTAATTTGGTTTGATTTGACTTATTGCATCATTGATGGAGGAACTCAGCAACCAGGAATCCAGTACTTATCACAGACATACATATATCAGCTTACACTTGAAAATTACCTGCTATGTCTTGTAGAATTTGGATAATGTTCTTCAATATTGTGGTCTTCCCATTTGTACCCTAAAATACAGTACCAGAAAATGTGATATATTACTGGAAATTAGGAACAATTGAAATTAATGTCTTTCATGAACCTTAGAACAATGCCTGATATATTCACCCAATTTTTTCTTCTTTAACATTCAAAATTATCGGAGAGCACCAATCTCCAAGAAAGGCTTCTTCCCTTAAGTTAAAAAGTAACAGAAAGCTCACATTCTTACCTACAATAGTGAGATTCCAGTAGGTTTCCAGCATCACATCTTTGTAGAGACTCTTCTGGGAAGGATCCAGCAAAGCCCACTCTTCATGAGTGAAGTTCACATGCACATCCTCATAGGTCACTGCATCCTAAAGTGTCCCATATATGTACAATAGAAATGGTGAGACTGACTGCATTGCAAATGTACACATCATTGAGAATATATTTACATAATTCCATGTGCTTGATACATTCTCTGACATGGGTCAGTCAATAGCAAATGCAGTCACCAACTCATTTTAAAAGGAAACATCAAGAGAGAATGACACCTTCCATTCCACTGTCCACAGAATAGATTATGGCACAGCAGGAGAAATGCCTAGGAATATATACAGAGAGACATGGAAACAGAGTAACACTATCTAGTATACATCAACAGAATTTTGTCAAAATTATTAACTTCAAGAAAGGATGGGCAATAAGGGTGGGTGGTGCACAACTCTAATCCCAACTCTCGGGAGTCAGAGACAGGTGAAATTTGTGATTTCTGAGCCTGCCTGGTTTATGGAGAAATTGCCAGGATAGCCAAAGGTACATAGTGAGACCCTGTCTCTAACGGAAAAAAAAAAAACAAGAAGCACTCAGGCCTCACTCAAAATTTCTCTACATAACCTGTCTTACTCACTTTTCCCTTGCTGTGAAGCACTATGACCAAGGCAACTCTTTTTGTTTGTTTTTGTTTTTCCAGACAGGGTTTCTCTATGTAACAGACCTGGCTGTCCTAGGAACTCTGTAGACCAGGCAGGCCTCAGACTCACAGATCTGCCTGCCTCTGCATCTCAAGTGCTAGGATTAACAGCAAGCAACACTCCCACTGATTTAAACATTTTAACAAATTAAACCCAAAAGACTTCAGTCCAGCAAACATGGAGAGTCACAAATCTGTCTGATCACAGCCCAGACCAGACTCAATTGGGAGAAAATGGGGCCAAGCAACATCTTTTGTTTGGGGACTGAGGAGAGAGTGAAAGTCCTAGATGAGAACAACTGGCTTCAACTGTTACAATCAGTTGGTGAAACTGGTCGATGGATTCAGCTGTCTCTGGTTGGAGCCATGGAATTCTTTCCTCTGTTCCCTAGCTGCATGGAGCCTACCTGCCTAGGACACAGGGACCATCTCCTCCTCCATAAGTGCAAACCTAATTAAAGACTCTTTTTAAGGAAAGGGTGTAACAGTGCCCATTTAACCATGGAGATGTGTGGACCCCACTGAGAACTGTGCCTAATGGACGATGGGCTTCCTTAACAGGGGGCAGGTCTAACCTTGAGTAGAAAGCAACCATGTGTCTATCATGTCACTATTATATTATGACAATGCAGAACTGGAGCTACAGATACAGCAGAAGTTCAATTAAAGTCTAACAATTTAAGCTACAAACTAAATTGCATGAGAAACAAAAATAAAAAGAGAAAATATCATCATGAATGAAAAATTGATCAACACACGACTGAATCAATAGTACATAAACACTGTGACACCATCTGACATCTAACTTTGAATGAAATTGCAATAAAGACTGCAATGAACTGAGTGGTGGTGGCGGCACACACCTTTAAACGAAGCACTTGGTTGTTTGAGGCCAGCCTGGTCTACAGAGTGAGTTCCAGGACAGCCTGGGCTACACAGAGAAAACATATCAGGGAAAAAAAAAATAAGACTGTAGTCTCTGGGAAAAAATAAAGAGATCAACAGAACATGAAATCAATCTTAGAAATAAAACACAATAAATATAGAGTCATTTTTGCCAAACGAAGCCAGGAATCAGTAAGTCCAGCCTTAATGACACAGGTAAATGAATCACCCTGGCATGTACATACAAATGCGTTAATGACACAGACTTTACACCTGCACAGAATTAACTGCAGATGGATCCCACATCTGAATATTCAGTGCCAAGTGCAGACCTTTTAGAAGACACTAGAGTGACCAGAGCTCTGCAAGTTAGCAAATCTTCCTTCCCTGGCCACAGTTTTTACTGAAAGAAATGAAAAAAACCATCAGCATGATCACCATGCTTTGCATGGTGACTAGGATATTTCCGCACAAAGACTCACACTACCCCATGCTCTGTGAAGGTGCAAACCCCAGCGCTAAATCACTCAGAGGTCCTGCTTCTGCCTGGAAGTTGCAGGGACCTCAGGGGACCAAAGGAAATCACTCCAGACACCGTGTCCTGACAGCATATACACAGCCCTGGGGAACACCCCACACTGGCTCCAGCGGCTTCTCCCCACGTGGGACGGGGGCCCCTCACTCACCATGGCGGATTCCGTGCTCACACGCTCTCTTCATGGATCCCAGCCACCAGTCACAGTCCAGCACACAGAACAGGAGATCCACCTTTAACCACTGAGCCAGAAACCATCCTGCAGGGCGGACCGGAAGTGCCCTCCCCATTCTGATTGGCAGTGCATCTGGAGGTCCTGACTGGCTACTGGGGCCTGAGTGATCTGAACAGCTCCCTTAGGGACAGTGCTGTGAAGTGAGGGAGGCGAATGATTGGCAGCCCTGGCTTTCACCCCAGGCACAGAACAGCCCCAGACCTGCAGAGATTGACATTCATGTAGAACTTGGGGCTGGACTGCAAAGTCTTCCCTGAACTATTTCCTTTCCTCAGGAGGACTCATTTCTAGGGAATTAGGTTTTGCAATGAACTGAGAAAGGACAAAGGAAACCTGCCACTTTCTGGGCTAGCAATACCTCAGGTGTGCTGTAGAAAACATGCTATGGTTTCTTTTGTAAAAAAAAAAAAATTATATGATTAAAAAAACAACTATACACTAATATGCACACTCTTGAACAGTTATTCTGTAGAAAAGGCCCATCAATATAAATACAGGATTTAGAGAAAGTAAACCCTATGAAATCAGAGTAAGCTTTTCCCCTATATGTATATTTACTAGAGAGCCTCAATACTCTAATGACTAATTCATATATAATTTATATATTTATTTAAATAATAATGAATATACAAATTTTTATATACTTATATTATATATATATATGTTATTGTCCATTTGACATAGGAGTCTACTGTGATGATATTGTGTCTTCCAATATATTGTGCACCCTAATAAACTTATCTGGGGTCAGAAAACATAACACCCACTAGATAGACATAGAGACCAGAAAATGATACCACACACCCCTTTGAACTTAGCATTCCAGATGCAGTGGTCCATCCAGATATCTGTGAGTTCAAAGCCACACTGGAAAGAGCCAGGCATCTTGACACATGCCTTTAATCCCAGGAAGTAGTGGCAGGAAGCACAAAGGTATATAAGGCATGAAGACCAGGAACTAGAGTCTTTTTTAAGCTTTTAGCTTTCAGCAGCAGTTCAGCTGAGAACCATTCGCATGAGGACTCAGAAGCTTTCATTCTTAGGAAACAAGATCAGCAGAGGAATTGGCAAGGTGAGGTTGGATGTGGCTTGTTCTGTTTCTCTGATCTTTCAGCAGTCACCCCAATAATAAGCTCCCTCTTTGTTTTTAGTAATATGACCTTTTAATATTTGTATTACAGTCTACAGATTTGTTTTTTCTTACCTCGGTATCATTAGTGAAAATAAGTAAAGCAAATTAAGTATACTTATTTTTATATCACACTTCTATTGTTTCTTTTTCTTTATGAGGGTCTCACTCTGCAGCCCTGACTGGACAGGAACTTGATCTGCTGACCAGACTGGCCTAAGAATCATAAAGAAAAGTTTGCCTCTGCTGTAGGGTGCTAGATTAAAGGGCTGCTCCACTCTGCATGACTTCTAGTAATTCTGCACAGTTACTAATGAAATAAACAGCAGCTGTGAAGATTCAGCCTCAGATGCTGTCAGTCTGCTTCCCTCACCAACTCCACACCTCCACTTTTGGAGGGGAACCTCAACAGAGCTGGACTCTGGCAATAAAGTCCCGGACAAAGAGGTTTTATAAAAGGGGGAATGAGAATTTTCTTCTGGACACATCTTGGCCACAAAGACCAAATGGTTTCTAGACCATTAGACCTCCATGCCAGCCATGGATCTTTGGGACTTCTCCTTTCTCAGGATCTGACTGAAACTCAGATCTCTTCTTCTGTTCCTTTAGTTAATGCTTAAATGAATGCTTAAATTCATGGTATATGAACTAATGGAGCGAATTTCATGATTTTGAACTGTATCATTGGGTGTGCTTGAATGAGAAAAAGAATAAAAAGAAAAGGACATGAGTGCTCCTAAGGATGGTGGAGGAGAAAGTTTATTGCAGTTGTGTGGGAGAGCATAGTCTGAGGCAGGGATATCTGAGGGAGTCCAGAGTGTTTAAGACCAGACTGAGCTGGGTCATGTGGAGAGAGTGGGAGGGAAGAGAAGAGATGGGAACCGGGTGGAGCAGTCAGGAGGCCAAACATACAAAAGAGACAGGTGAACAAAATGTCCAAATTAAATATGGAAGAGCCTCTGGGAGAAGGAGAGCCCAGCCTCTGGGCAGCGGAGTTAAGGGTAGTGGGTTCAGTATGCCAGCCATACCCTGAAACAGATAGAGACTGAAGGATTCTGGGAGAAACTGGTGACCAAATCCAGATTTGCTATGATAAACAGTCACCTCAGGTATTTGTCACAAGCTTGAAACTTAACATCCCAGCCTTTTTTTGATAGAAAATCAGGCAGCAGTTAGAGCAGCCTGCAGCATTTGATTCCTTACAAATCTGCTGGAAGAGACACTATCAGCAACAGAAGAAAAAGCTGAGGAGGTTAGGGGGAAATTTGTTTCTTAGGTGTCCATTGAAACCTTTAGGTCCACAGTCCTTATCACTCTGGGAGGGGAGTCCCAAGACCAGAGAAAGGGGAAGATTCCACCTTCAGGAATAGTCAGATGGGGAAGCAGGCCATTGATTGATAAGAGTATATGTCTGGAGTCCATTTGACATGTGAGGGGTGGATACAAGTAGATGACCTGAAGCTTACAAGACTTCTTAAAATTTACATAAAGAGGCACAAGTTTTAGATATGTTAGCATTACTACTATCTGTAATATGTATTAATATCCACATTGTAGGAAGCACAGTAAACTCATGCCCTTATGTCATGGTAAAAACTTGGGGACCCAAAATGATTCAGGGTTAAAAGCATGAATAATCTTTAAGGTGATCTCAGAGAGGACAGGAACATTCTGTGGAGCAGAAGGGCAATAGCTCACTTGATCTTGATTTTAAATATGAAAAAAAGAAGGGTCTTCTCTCTCTATCCAGAAGTTTGGATGTATGTAGATTATTTTGGTGTTTTAGCTCAATAAGAAGAACTTTTAAGTCTGTACCTCAAGAACAACCAAATGGAATTTAAAATCTCAAGCTGTGACTCTAACAACAGAAGCAAAGCTTTCCCAGAGCTAGATTAATAGCTTATCAGAACTGCATTGATTAATAAGACTTTGAGCTTTGAAGTCTTAACATAAATGTAGCATGGTGAGAGACAGAAATTTGAAGCATTATTCATTCTTTTTATATCCCTTACGTCAATATCTTATCATAATTTAAACATTGACATCTTCACACCTTACATAAACTTGCATTTACACAATTCAAAACCTCTTCCTTAAAACATTTCAAAGATCTTCAAAACCTAAGCTTTAAATGTTACACCTTTTTCCATCCAAACATTCACAATGAGACAGAAGTCATTGTAACACAATTATCCTTAAAAAAAGAATAGCAGAAATTACACTGACATAGGTTTTATGAGTTTCTCTCCTTTGGAGTCTGATAACAGGGTAAATGGTGACTAGACTCATTAGTGGCTCCAGGAAAGTGAGGCCTGTGAGCATATTTTTACATATGAAGAGAACTGAGAAGGCAGTTGAAGCCTTGGGAAAGCAGCTGGGTGCTTGCTGCTGATAAAGCTAGCTAGTCAATATCCTCATAGATCTGAGAAGGATACATGATAACTGGAAATATAATGTCAATGATCTATGTATCAAACAAAATGAGAGTGACCCTTTACCTATACAGGTTACCATAGTCTGCAGTGTAGTCAGAAGATTTCTCCAGTCCTGCCTAGCCTGCGGTCACACAGCCACTTATAAAATAATTATTCAGAGGCTCATATTAATTATGAACTGTATGGCCATGACCTATGACTCAATTTTCTTGCTAGCTAGCTCTTATAACTGAACTCAGCCCATTTCTATTAATCTATATGTTGCCATTGTTCCATGGCTTTTCCTGTGTGTCATTACATGCTGCTCCCTGGACAGCAGGATGGCTCCTCTGCCTCTGCCTTTCTTCCTCCTGTCTCTTCCTGGATTTCCTGCCTGCCTCTAAGCTACCTTGCCATAGGCTAAACAGCTTTATTTATCAACCAATCAGAGCAACACATATTCACAGCATACAGAAAGATATCCCACAGCACTGCAGTGGTCTCCACAGTTTCAGTGGGGACAGTAGTTTTAGGTCTTCAGCTGTCAAACAAGACAGCATAGGTGTAGCAAGAACCAACAAATGTATATATCTCAATTTATTAAGGGCTGCAATTGGAATGCAGACTCACTAATACAAAGCAAGGTAGACATAGTGTTCATCCATTTATGATCCAGCTGCCAATCTCTTCAAGACCAATGGGGACCAAATGAAAGCCATGCTCCACCTCCTGACCCAGTCTGGATGAACCAAGAATATAATTGACAACTCTGCCTCAGCTCCTAAGGGGTCACATATGCAGACAAAGCCATAGCCTATGACTTGTGCCCCAAAGCCATTGGCTAAATGGAATTAATTCCCAAAATACATAGGACTTTGGCTGCGAGACAGAAGTCTGCAATTTTGTTCTGTGGAGGAGCAACTTGGGGGAGTGACATTACTTTTACTAGGCAAAGAATGGCAATGAATCCAAAAATATTCAGTTTGAGCAGAGACCTGACAGCAGGTAAGGCATAGAGCAGTTTTCCCAGTGGTTAGTTGCTGTGGGATGGTCTTTCTGCATGCTGTGAATATGTATTGCTCTTGTTGGTTGATAAATAAAGCTATTTTGTCCCAATGCCAGGCAGAATAAGGTTAG